TATCGGCGAAAAAAACGCATCAAATTAAAAAAATAGTAATACCCGTCTTATTTCTTCTAATATACCGTCTTGTTTTTTGTGTACTAAACTTAGACGGTATATTAATTTACACTCGACTACTAACAAATAACTTTATTAAAATATTTAAGTTTTGAACGCTCTCGATGATTTTATTATTTTTTTAAAAATTCATTTAAAAAAGAAATATTTTTAAAATTTAGGTATTAAAATATCATAAAGAAACGGAATCTCTTGCAACAAACTTTTCCAACATTGACCTTTGGGTGAAAAAGACTTTACATTGCAATAATTAATAACAAGACAATGAAACATACCAAAACAATAATAATAATTCAAAAAAAAATTTGATTTTTTTTATTATTAAACAAGAAAACATGTTTGGATTCTGTTCTTAATGTTTCGGCTTTTCATTATTAAAAAAAAAAAAAAAAAAAAAAAAAACTTGCGTAGCCGCCTCATCATCTCAATTATTTTGCTAAATGGCAGCCTATGCTCCACGAATTTATTTTATAATAAATATATTTTAAAAAAAACAATAATTATAATAAAAAAAATTTAAAAGCTAAAATAAATAATTATTTATTATTCAAAGTAGTTGGTATAGGTATAAAAAATAATAAAAAAAAATACTTATTATTTATTTATTCCATGTATTTTGAATTTTGTTTATTTGACGTGTTCGTGAAGTTAATTTTGATCGAGTACAATATTTTAAATTAGTCGATCGAGTCAGGTTAGAAAATATGTCACGAATTGTCAGGACTCTATTAACGATTAAGAACGCAGTTGGTTGTATCACAAGAAAAAGAAAAAAAAATTAATTTAATTTATTTTTTTATTTATTAGCTTGGTAAAATCCAAAATTAAGATGACTTAATTTCCCTTAAGATAAAATAAAATAAATAAAAGGTATTTTAAGGGGACTCCACATGGCTTGGAAGATATAGTTAGTGTATATTATTAAAGATTGAAAAATAATGAATGATTTAATCATGCAATAAATTATAATATAAGATGGTAGGTTGTGATTATCGAAGAGGTCGAAGTATAAAAATACTCAGTAAGTAACGTACTTGTAGTGTATGTCTCGTACGCTACGTGAGGACAGAGACTAGGTTCTCTAGTTATACATGCTTTTATAGGATTTCGAAACCTCTATTTTTGGGTATCTCACGTTCTCGCCCTATATGAGTCTTCATTGATTCACCGTGTAACGGCCTAGATCCACCACTAGTAGATATTGTCCTCTTTGGGCTTTTCCTTTCGAGCTTCCCCTTAAGACTTCCATCCCTCTTCGGGGCCCAGCGAGATATTGTCCTCTTTGAGCTTTCCTTTTTGGGCTTCCACCCCTTCGGAGCCCAGCGTCCTCGCTGACACTCTTTCCTTCCTCCAATTAACGTGGGATCTGTTAAAATATCATCAGTAGCCCATTAAGCCCAACTATTGTATGAGTAACTATTGAGATTTTAGGAATAAATTTAGTCAAATGATTTAGATACTTAATAAAAAAAAATGTTGAGAAATTTTAAGAAATGATTACTTAGCATCCGGTGTACCTCCACCCTATTTAGTTTATCCTCCCAAGAAATCTCGAGCAATAAAGTAGTAGTTTCTATAGAGTGTTTTGTAAATCTCTCCTCGATTGATCTTAATAAAGTGTGCTGGGTGTTTCCCACAGAGAGTTGTGTTCAACGGGACTGCCCCCAAATCCACCCCCCTTTGGAGCCCAGCGTCCTTACTGACATACCGTCTCGTGTCTACCCCCCTTCGGGGAATAGCGAGAAGGCTGGCACATTGTCCGATGTCTGGCTCTAATACCATTTGTAACGCCCCAAATCCACTGCTAGCAGATATTGTCCTCGTTGGGCTTTCCCTTTCGTGGCCTTTCCCTTTCGGGCTTCCCCTCAAGGATTTAAAACACGTGAAAAGTTTTCACACCTTTATAAATGGTGGTTTGTTCTCCTTCCCAACCCATGTGAGACATCACACACCGAGTCTATTTCCTATAGTTCCTTATAGTTTGGCTCAATCGGGTTCCTCATTTTATAGTGATATCTCATCATTCTGTTTATCGAGCACATATACCCATCAAAATTTTGTTTGAGATTCTTGAACGTCTTACCCTTTTAGGGTCTTTTCTCGTTTCACCTAGTCTAGTTCCTCATAGTCGGGCCCAAGTGGAACCTTAATCTCATTGGAGTTGTATACATCCATCAACTATTACGCATCTATGTGGTCTCATGTCCTTTATGGACCAGTTTTCAACCCGAGGATTGTTGGAGATCTCGTGCCCATTTTCACACATGATACCTCTAACATAATCAATCTCGAAGTATTATCCTATCAATATCAACTTCTAGTCAAGCTAGTTATGAATGTGGACCCCTATTAATCCCTGTCAATATATCCCGAATAGTCTCCACACTAAATATAAATCATTGGGAGTTACTCCATCTCTCGGCAATATCATATGGACCCTTTTCAATCGGGATGAGTTGACCAGTCCCCCACCTGTCCCCACACGACAACCACGTGATACTAATTATAAGTTTTAGCACCCGGTGTAGTAAAGGCGATCTAAAGTTGTATCATATTCATGACTTCTCTTGCTCAATGCAGTATCTATTATTCATTCATTAAGGACTTACTTAAAGATGTAATTTTTCATACGTCATCTTCTAATAATGCAAGAAATCATGATTATTTATCATTTTCTAACATACCCGTTTTATCATAGAGAGACCGTAAATCATGGTTCATGATATTAGTCATAAATTTTTTTTATCCCAACCGTTCAAACATATCATAAGCAATCATGTCCAACTCAATCCTACATGCGTACTTCGAGAAGAAAATTTGAAATGACTACGTACGATTCTCACACACCATTCCAATACATAATCACAAAGAAAACAAATCGAGTACTCCGGACATTTAAAAAAGAAAACCAAGTAGTCAATAAACGATAAATACCCGAGAACCCAAAAATCATAGTTCATAAATATCTTTAAAGCTTTTGATTGTATATGTGATAGGTGTCAAGTTTCGAGACCAAATGGCCCGTTTCAGTTGAGTTATAAACTTATTTGAATTGAGTTTGATTCAAATAAATGAAAGTTTTATGGATTGGATTGGTTCACGAGTTTACTTAAATGAGATTTAGTTGATTAAACTTACTCAAATTTATTGTTAAGTAACACAATCCTTATTAAATTTTTGTACTTGAATACCTCCCGAACAATTAAATTAAGTATAGAAAATGATCCAACCTGGCCTAACTCAACCCACGAACACCTCTACTAAATAAATACAAACCAAAATTTAGAAACTAAATTTGTGATCAGGTAGGTATTCGAGTACAAAAATTTAACACCGTACAAAAGGAAGATAGTGAATTTTGGTCTAACATTTTGGATCATAGTGGATTATGATCTCGAATGTACAAAATATTATGGTATGATATTCTAAGTCCTTATCTAAAAGAATATAGTTTTCCGTCTGGTTCAATTCATTAAGTGAAAATTGATTTGTTTTCGATCGTATATAGTGCTTATTTGATCTTTAACGATTTAATTTTACGTTTAAAAGCACCTGATATCCTTCTTAAACACTTATAATACTCGAACCTTATTAAGAAAAAATGCAAAAGAACGAACTATGTAATAAAGTTAAAAGACGGGCCACATTGGACAAGGCAACTGATGAACATATTCTTATTCTTTTGTGCAGCCTTTTGGGATGGGATATCTATCTACTCGAATGGAACTTATTCCAACATCTATCACCCATAGATATGAAAATCAACTCAACTCAATAATATCATCCACTTTATTATTAGAGATGGCAAAATTTCTTGCAAGTTAGGTCCAAAGAAATTTCACTTCCTCGTGAATTTATTTTGAATCAAGATCATTTTGCGTAACTTTATCTTAGTTTTATTGCGGGAGCAACCCTATTTTCCACTTTTAATTGATCAAAATAAGCAATTCTTACTTTTTGTAGAGGATTAGATCCCGTGTTCAGGAGTTTACAGTTAAATCGATATTGACTTAGAGAAGACAATATGATAATCAATTGAGAAGAAAGCCCCAAGTCTTGCTCACAATAGTCGAGTCCCTACAATACCAAACCTATACCTCTTAGCTTGTCACCAAAATGCTTAATCAATCCCAAAATTCTTGCAGATAAAACTCGTTTATTCATATGATCACAAATCCTAAGGACACAACGTTTAATCTCGTAGGTAAAATCCGTCTATATTCAGATAACCAATTTATGCATCAAAATATTTATAGAATAATGCATGTTTAGTTTTATAAGTATCTTTGTCCCTATCACCTCGTAACTAAGCTTGTTCCTCCTTTTGTCACTAAAAGTCCTCAGCTGAACGATGCTTCAATAATCATGATACAAACGCAAGCTCGAAACTATATAGTTCCTTGAGTCGAAAGAAAATACAATATCATACTAATATGCAGATGTAATAACAATCATTTCAATGAGTCAGACATAATGTTCACTGCATCATAAACAAAAAGCAAGCGAAGAAGATGCATCTAATTGAGACAGAAGTGAGAGAAAGTGGTAAATGTCTTTAAAAAACCAATCATAATCACATGAGCAAGCTAGAAATGAGCATCACAAGAGCAGAAAGAGCATAATAGAGGGAATCTGATTTGGAACTCACTCACTAAGCTATAGAAAGAAAAAGAGAAAGAAAGGCTGTGAGTGAGTGAAGAGTGGCAAATGGGCGTGTGAGTTTGCGTTATATGCCTTATATTCTCATATTCACATTCTCTTCACTCAAAATCTGCATATTGGCTCTCTGCAATTTGATATGGATTTGGCAGAGATTGGTGGAGTAGAAGGATAATTCTTTTGGGGATTGGAATCTGATTCTTCCACTTGTCGTGTTCGTGTTGGGTTTTGGTGTTTATAAATGGATACCTAGGAGGGTAGTTCATAGTTCATCAAAACCCACTGTTCTGATCTTCTTCTGTATTTCACCTTTTTCCAGCACATTTCCTTTCTGTGTAGGCTTAGCTTCAGCTCTTCCATTTTTGTCTCTCCCTATCTCTAAAGCTAAATAACTCAAATCCCACTGTGTTTGTTTTTCTTGGAGATAACACTCAGGTCAGCTCTCTCTCTCTCTCTGTTCTCAAATGGAGATAACACAGAGTTTCCATTCAAATATGAGTAAACAAATAGCCTAAGGTTTCTCTGTTCTCAAATGGAGAGCATTTAATATTAGAAGAAGAATAATCTTCATCCATATTTCTGATCTCTTAGCTTTCACTCTGTTTTAATACTTTAATAAAGTATTTTTCCTAGTCTCAATATTCTTCTTTATCTTTTTTGTTCTTTTCTTTTTTCATTTTGCTATGAAGTCAAAGATTCCATTCCACTGAGTGGTTTGTTGTTGTTATACAGAGAAGCTGCGGATTACTCTTTCGAGAATACGACCATGAACGCACTAGCAGCAACAAACAGAAACTTCAAGCTTGCTGCTAGACTTCTCGGTCTCGACTCAAAGCTCGAAAAGAGCTTGCTCATTCCATTTAGAGAAATCAAGGCTTGGTTCTTCTCATTTCTTCTATTCAATATATTTGTTTCAATTGGGATGGATGCTTTTATAGATCCTTGGTTTTCTTTTCGAGAGTTCATATCTTGAACAATAATAGTCTATAGTTTCTGCTAAAACTCTTCTGAATATGACAGGTTGAGTGTACCATACCCAAAGATAATGGCACATTGGCATCCTTTGTTGGTTTCAGGGTCCAGCATGACAATGCAAGAGGCCCCATGAAGGGAGGGATCAGATATCACCCAGAGGTTGGTAGTTTTTCTTATTATCTTAGAGTCCCTTTTCTACAATAATCTAAGTTTCAAAGGCTCATTCCTTGCATTTTGCTCATGGTCTACTCTCCAATGCAGGTTGACCCTGATGAGGTAAATGCTTTGGCACAATTGATGACGTGGAAGACAGCGGTCGCAAATATACCATACGGTGGAGCGAAGGGCGGGATAGGATGTGATCCTGGAGAATTAAGTCTATCGGAGCTGGAACGTCTTACCAGAGTTTTCACTCAAAAGATACATGATCTTGTTGGTGTCCACACTGATGTTCCAGCACCAGATATGGGAACGGGTCCACAGGTTGACTACATATACACAATCAAACTTAGTTTCTAGTAGTTGCATTATTTTACTGTTCAAGTTTCAACTTTCCTCCCTCCTAATTGTGTGTGTTGATTTCAACAGACAATGGCATGGATCCTAGATGAGTATTCCAAGTTTCATGGCTACTCACCAGCGATCGTAACAGGGAAACCTATCGTAAGTGACTTATAAGGCTCAACTCAGCTTCATAGATTACTATTAAAGCAACTAATCAAAGTTGACTATCACCAAACTAGGATCTGGGTGGATCTCTGGGCAGAGATGCAGCAACAGGGCGAGGCGTGTTGTATGCAACAGAGGCCTTATTAAATGAGTATGGAAAGAGCATATCTGGTCAAAGATTTGTCATTCAGGCACACTTTTTTTACCTTTCTGCTACAATTTCTCGTTCAAGCTAACCTTCATATATACTACAACATGCTAAGTAAAAATACGGGCTGCTATGTTAGGGTTTCGGCAATGTGGGGTCGTGGGCAGCACGACTGATCAATGAAAATGGAGGAAAGATCGTAGCAATAAGCGATGTGACAGGAGCAATAAAGAATGACAATGGGATAGATATTCCAAGCTTACTAAAATATGCAAAAGAACACAAAGGTGTGAAAGGTTTTGATGGGGGAAATCCAATTGATCCCCAGTCTATTTTGGTTGAAGACTGTGACATATTGATACCAGCAGCCCTTGGAGGCGTCATCAACAAGGAAAATGCCAATGAAATCAAAGCTAAGTTCATAATAGAAGCAGCCAATCACCCAGCAGACCCAGAGGCCGATGAGGTGAGCACATAAATGAACATCAAGCTAAATGAACATAGTACCAAAAACTAGAAATGCATAATCTTTTGTCATCTGTAGATATTAGCAAGAAAAGGAGTTGTTATTCTACCAGATATTTATGCAAATTCAGGGGGAGTTACAGTTAGCTACTTCGAGTGGGTTCAGGTACCAGCCCTTTTGTTCATTCATTCACTAACTCCTTTCAGAAAGAGACAACAGATACACACATATGATATATAACTCAATTGAAACAAACAATTCAAATACAGAACATCCAAGGTTTCATGTGGGAGGAAGAGAAGGTAAATAATGAGCTGAAGACTTACATGACGAAGGGCTTCAAAGATGTGAAGGAGATGTGCAAGACCCATAATTGTGACCTCCGCATGGGAGCTTTTACACTTGGAGTCAACCGAGTCGCCAGAGCCACTGTGTTGAGGGGTTGGGAAGCCTAAGCAACTGCTTCTCTTAGGTCTGAATAAATGGGGAGATGCTCCACTCCCTCACCTTAGTGCTGCTTCCTTTCCTGCTGTCCTGCATACAACGACCACTTTTTCATAGCGTTAGTTACTTTTATTGGACAAGCATGCAAGAACTACCATCTCAGCTCTAAAAAATGCCAAATAAATGGCGTAGTTTTGCTTCCTCCTGATACCTATTGATAGGAGATTTAAGGATTGATTTCGGATGAGAGGAGTCCTCTCTAGGCTTCAGCCATTCACTTGGCTTACCAACTTCTTGACAGTAAAAGAAATGAGAACAGTTTTCAAACAGTACTGTAGAACTATATGGACAATAGTCATCTTTCTTCTGTCCAAAACACGCAGCACTAAGAAATTCAGCAATAAGAGAAAAACGACATCAAAATTTCATAATCCACGAACTCAATCTATATTATATTGAGACACAGACTAGAAAATTTCATTTGCACTGATTAGTAAGACATTAAAATTAGCGGTAGAATTAAATTAGGTAGTAGCTTCAATAAAGAGAAGTTGAATTCCAAACAAAATACAGTACAAACAAAAGACTCTAGCAAACGCTTCCCAAAATGACATTGCAAATGGAAAATTGATAAAATTATAGTATTACATAATGCTAATTTAGTATCTTCCTCTACCCCTAAAGCCACCACCACGGCCACCACCTCTTGGAGGGCCACCTCTGCCACCTCTTGGACCGCCCCTTCCACGAAAGCCACCAGCCCCACGGCCACCTCTGCCCCCACCACGACCTCCACCTCTAGCAGCAAACTGTCCCCTGAAATAATGAACAGACATAATGAGTTATTTCTATACAGAATCTAACACAGACTGTGAAGCATTGCTTAGTAGTTCTTTGATTCTTTCAATTTAAAAAAAGTTATGAAACCATCTATCGGTTTGAAACATATTAGATGAATAGTGATCGACTACCAATATTTGGATACTGAATAGAAAAAGGAGCCAATAAGGGCAAATCACAGACGCATCCAGCGTGGTAAAGTCGAAGCAAAACTAAATTGTTTATCTCATGTACACAATCCACTGAAGACTAACAGCAGCACAATGAAGAAATAAGAAATAGACGCATCAGACCACATAATAGGAAGCTATGTTGTTCGTTTGGATTATGAAAATTTGGAATCATATAGAGGAACTAGGAATTAAACACACAATTTAAAACAACAAATAAAATAAAACAAACTGTCATGAACTTAGCAACCCTATTTTCAGTCACTCGTGATTTTACTCAGTCTGGATGCCCAAATTTCAACTATAATAGAATCTTTCACTTAATCACCCATCTTCATTCAAGATTCATTACAATCAAACATAAATACCATGTTAATCTGAATTTATATCCAAGCCTTACTACCGAACAAAAAACGTTAGTCGTGCAGTCAAGACATAAAACTACGTTTTCTAAAACCACTCAATACATACGGACATAAGCAATCACTTGAAAAAAAGACCTCATTGGAGGTGGGGGGAGAGATGGATTACGTACTTGGGCTGTGGGAGGAATCTAGCGAGAGGTAAAAGTTTAGCTGGATCAATATAAAATTTATCCCCAGAAGAATATGAGGTGGCGACGATTCCTTCCATCATTTTGATCGAGAAATACTGCAATCAGGTTTAAGAAACAATGATTTATCATATATCTAAACTGTATCCAAAACTAAACAACTAACAAAATCAAGGCCAGTGGACTCACGGATTCATTGATGGGGCCGAAAATCTCATCAACTTTACCTATCTGTGTCTTATTCTGAAGATAGATAGGGGCATTAAAGAAAGGAATCTTCTCATTTGTGAGCTTTGTGACTGCATCTCCCTCACATGCATGAAGGAAAGAAGAAACCTCTGTAACAGAAAAAATCAACGTAGTGATAAATAAAATAGAACAAAGTAGGGAAAACAGGGAGTAAATGTAACAAAACAATCCTAGAGAAAAATAGACATAAATTGTGTGTATTCAAATTTAAATTGCTAAAGAAAAAGGAAAGTTTCAGAAGCAAAATCCATTGTTTATGCCGATTATACAAACGAAAATACCAGTAACATTCTAAATAGTCCAAAGGAGTCCAAGGGAGCATCGCATTGTAACTAAAACTATTTCATTAAACACCTACAGAAAATATCCTAGTAGCAAAGAAGAAAAAGATGAAGGAAAACCCAAATCAGTGAATAATTGAAGAAGTAATGGGAGATACGAACCAACGACTTCAGACGGAGGACCCTCATCACGAAAACCTCCGCCGCCACGACCACCAAAGCGGCCACCTCCCCTGCCACGGCCGCCTCCTCTACCACCGAAACCACCGTCACGGCCTCCCCGGAAGCCACCGCCGCCTCTTGGTGGCCGCATTCTTCTACTGCAGCTATGAGAAAACGAGAGAGCTTTTCTTAATAATCGGAGGAGGGTCGCTTCAAAATCTCGGTTAGGGTTTACCGGGGTTTTTAGGGTTTATATAGGTGTGAAGTTGACCCCTTCTTCTCTTTCCTTTTCCTTTTTCCTTATCTTTTCCTTATTTTTTTAAATAAATTATCAAAAATACTCTATCAAGTCAGTTTTAATTAATATTGTAAATTTGAAATTTGTTTTAAAATAATTTTAATAAATCTTTTATATTAAATTTATAAATAAAAAATTTGTATTTAATTATGTGAATAAATTAAAGCATGAAAAAGAAAATTATAGACCGCATCCGTTGCCCTTAATGAAACTAACATGAGAGTAAGTAAAAGGGGTTTGGAACAGGCATGCGGTTATGGACAATATGTCCTGACCAACCATGATCGGGGCATCTGACACGTGGCCACAGACAATATGCCTTGGACAAGCATGACCGTGACATCCTTTCTCACTCAATGATCATGTTCGAGTGATATCCTAAAGAGTCTATCGTGTATGGATAAGGTTGGATGTCTACAAATGATTTGATCCAAATTGTTTATGTGCAGACATGTGAGCGATGGTATCTTATATTATGAGTATAAGGTCCCACGTAAATTCATGCTAATACCAAAGGTTCAATTTAATTGAAATAAAATTTCAAATTAATATTAAATATATTTATTATATTAAATATTAAAATAATTAATATGTATTAGATACTTTCAATATATTCGGATATTTTATAACATTTAAATATGATTTGAACTAGATATTATATTCTAATATATTAGATATTCAAATATATTATTTGACAAAAGATTATTAAAGAGTCCTTGTCAACGACCTTCGGTTGAGCCAAAATATCTATCATATTATCGATCCTGTCGGCATTAGTGGCAATTTCATTCATACAAGATTTCAAAAGCTTCATTCCATTAATACTCAAGTAGAGTAACTGATTTTCGATCTCTACCAATAAGTCAGCCCGAGACTTGCCACTTGTTTTGCAGCAAACATGTTTATGTACTGCGATTCAAGAAGCCAACCTGACTCTTATACCACTTGTCACAATCGCAGTCTTGTGGTACGGGACAACGATTGTACTGCACTTATTCTAATCCAGTGAACAAACCAGTCGTATGAAAGCCGAGGTTTGTGGACAACCTTTACGTATGGTCGAGGCTAGGGTCATGTTTCAAAGAAATGTTTTAAAAAACGTGAGCGAGTAAATGCATTGAAAACAATTTAAAAGGAATTAGTGTTAGATAAGTTTTAGCCAATTTTGGTAACCGGTTATACACCTCCTTATTGACACGACATGAATATTAAAAACTTATTAAGTACTAATAGTTTACATTCATTCGTGACGGGACTCCTAATGGATTGAAAACCATATCATATTAACGGGTCTTCCATTTTGCAAATAAGGCATATCTTCTCTAGGCAAAATTTTTGAAACAATACCTTTATTTCCCTGTCTTCCCGCTACCTTATTGCCTACTTTGATTTCACGTTTCTGTGAAATATATACACGAATCATTCCTGGATTATAACTCGAACCCCCTTTTTTCTGGATCCATCTCACATGAATAACTCGACCCCTATAGCCTATAGGTAGGTTTAGACAGGTTTCTTTTGAAGTGGATAACTGAATGTCAAGTATGACTCGAAATAATCTATGTTTGGGGGCATACAATCTAAAATTAACATTTTGAACTTTTTTTTGTCACAATTACATTTTGATGGCAGCGGACTTGCAATTGTGCTGCACTCACTTCGCAGGAAGAACCCACACCTACGGAATCAAATAATAAATCTTCTTATGATTCTTGTTTCGATATTTTTTTGTTTCAACGATATTTTGTGTTTTCAAATAAAATCAATAATTTCATCTACGATTCATTGGAACAAAAAAGCCCGACTAGGTACGCCGTGAAAATAAAATGACCTTTTGGATGAAATAAAATAACAGAGGTACTATATTTTTTTTATTTAGAAATATATATTTTTAACCATATTTAATATATTGGTATTATTTATATATTAGGATTAGAGATATCTCTCTTTTGAGCCCTTACTCTATCTAATTTATCTAAATGAAATGATTGTATTTATCGATTTTATCGATCATCGATATATCTACATAATTATATATATATCGATATAATTATATATATATATATAATTAAAAAAAGTAGATTTTTAATTATATATCCATATAATTAAAAGGTAGATAAAGATAATAAGGAGAGATCGGTTTAATCGGTATTTTCTTTTATGGTTCATATTCTGGATTAGGTTCATCTCTGTAATAATCGGATGAACTGAGTTGTAGACATGAAAGCATACGAACTCAACAGGATCCCCTCGAATAAAAAAAAAAGAGGGGTAGGTCCCGTTGAGCTCTTACTAATTAGAATAATTTATTCATATAAATGATTATTTATTTTTTATTCTGAATTGCTTCTTAAAAAAATTGATTCCGATAGTATCAGCTTTCAAAGTGAAAAAAAAAGGGAAGAGAGAATCACTCGATTCCTTTCATCAGATATCTAGCTCATAGGAGACTAGCATACCTACTCAAATACCGTTACTAAGGTAACTAAAAGCAGGAACAAAACAACCCCAGGGAACCTCCAACTACAAATGAGTTCCATAGCACTAGTTGCCCAAACTCAACCGCCAAGAACAACTACCATGCCTCAACAAGTAAGTTAAGCCTATTAGTTCTGCCTACGACCAAGCAACGTATACTAGAGCCCCTAACCTTAGTTCAAGAAGAAAGTTTCAAATTTTAAGGACTAACTTGTAATTTAACCACGTCTAACTCAACTCACTTAATCACAAATTTTGAACGTTCGAAGTTTCTAGAGTTATTGTTGATACTTTTGATCTCCAACAACGTTATCAAAGAAGGTATGAATGGAAGCGTAATCGGGCAATTTAGCACGAACGCAATAAGTTGAAACGCTCCAAGCAAAACGCAAGTGAACGATAATCATCCATGAAAGGCTCCAGCCTCTCATCTATACAAAAACGAACACAAATGCTACCATGTTTATGAAACAAAGAAAGAAAGAAGTGAAAATGGGTAATGAAATAATGAAAAGAATGAAAAGAAGCCCATTTTTAATGTAAGTTTAGAGGAGGACTTTACATGGTAAGTAAAAGATTAGAGAGGTTGCAATCAAGTTGTACAAAACTTGTCTCTTTTTTTTGTTGTTTGTTTCACTAAGAAGCCATTATGGAAGGTGCCCCATTATGAGCACAAGAATAGCTCTCTGTTTTTCATGCCATTCCAACAATCATCCTCTGTTCTTGCATTGCGCACCACACCATAACAAGTTAAACCAATGGAATGGGGCATTGCATTGCTTATCTCCCTCTCTCCCAACAAATCCCTTCTTGGATCATCATATCATCATCATCATCATCATCAACAACTCTCAACTCTCTCAGCTTCCACATTTCTAAAAAAAAAAAGGTTTGTTCTGTTTTTCACTTTTTGCATCCCCTTCTGCTGGGGCACATCATACCAAAATATACAATCAAATTACACTGTCCATCAATCATAATTAGCAGACTGTTCGCCCGTAACATATCGATGCAATATAGAGATTCTTCGACCACTTCTCCTGCGATGATGATACAACATATATTGCAGAAAACCAGCCATCAATACTAGTTCGAAGTTTTGCTAAAACAGAAACACATTGGGTTCAGCAGTTACCACAAGATTGCTACGAATGAATCACGTTTGAATGAGGTAATCGTTTCGTGTTCTGGTTTTTTTATCGATGTTATGGTTGAGTACTTTGTTTTCAGAAAGCATTTTCTATTTTCATACGATCGAAAAAAGTTTGATGAAAGAAACTCAAGATTTGAACCATTAGGAAAAGGCCTGGTGAATTTTCTACTCGTGCTATAAAACGTGTAGGTGTATGATAAATTTTGTTATGAAGATGCGTTCGTACCTTCACATGTGTGCTGGGAAATGCAGACGTTCGCAGAGTCTCCTGAGTTTCGTCCATCAATTTGCGTTTGGGTATGCTTAAAATGAAGGCAGCCTGATCTGCAGTTGCTGCCATGCATGTTATTCTGTAGCCACTTTCCCATCTGCGGTGAATACCTTCGCTTGGGTATAAAAAATCAAGCTCCACAACCTTGAGTGATTGAGTTCATACAGGACAAGAACCAAGAAAGAATTTTCAGAAGACAATAACAGAAAATTGTATGCAAAAGTAAAAACAATTCATAAATTAATACGAAATCGTACCTGATCAGAAAAGCCAGCATTCCTAGACATAACCACGCCCCAGCGACTTCCAGCAGTGGTCATGGACGTAACGTGGAATCCTTCCTTCCATTTCTTATTTATCCACTTGAAAGGAAAAGATTCACTAACTTTATAGGATTGCTGAGTATAAGGTGTTCCTGCAAGATTACGCCGAAGCTCAATAAGAACACAAGATCATAAGCGCCTATTATTGGATCGTGAATAGACGATCAAGAACCAAGGAATGAAATAAATTCTCCTGAGAGCTATAATATCTTTTATTGAAAAAGAAGATTAGCACCACTTGAAGTCAAACCCAGAGAAATCTCTGGAATGAGGAACTAGAAAATATTTTTTAGAACCGGGCTCGATGGAAGAAAAAGCAAGGAGTGCTCAAGTATTCTCTCTATAATTGGTAACTCCTAGCATGCCCAGTATCGCAATCGCACTCTTGCAATAGCGGGATAGCGATTGTGCGGCACTTGTTCTAATCAAGCGAACAAGTCAGCTGTGAGAAATACGAACGTCGGCGTATGTTTGGGCCTCGAGCACTTTGCAAGAAAAGGTTTAGAAAACGTGCACGAGGAAATACATTTGAAAACGGTTTGAAGAATGGAAGAAAACAACATTATATGACTATAAGCAAATTAAGAAATATCACAGCTTAAATAGCATATAACTCAGGATAGGAAGAAGTGACAACTAATCATATCCCCCTATAGTATATTTTGGGGCATTTTAGCCTTGGCGGGTGTAGACAAGGGGAGTACGTTTGAAAACGGTTTGAAGAATGGAAGAAAACAACATTATATGACTATAAGCAAATTAAGAAATATCACAGCTTAAATAGCATATAACTCAGGATAGGAAGAAGTGACAACTAATCATATCCCCCTATAGTATATTTTGGGGCATTTTAGCCTTGGCGGGTGTAGACAAGGGGAGTACGTTTGAAAACGGTTTGAAGAATGGAAGAAAACAACATTATATGACTATAAGCAAATTAAGAAATATCACAGCTTAAATAGCATATAACTCAGGATAGGAAGAAGTGACAACTAATCATATCCCCCTATAGTATATTTTGGGGCATTTTAGCCTTGGCGGGTGTAGACAAGGGGAGTACGTTTGAAAACGGTTTGAAGAATGGAAGAAAACAACATTATATGACTATAAGCAAATTAAGAAATATCACAGCTTAAATAGCATATAACTCAGGATAGGAAGAAGTGACAACTAATCATATCCCCCTATAGTATATTTTGGGGCATTTTAGCCTTGGCGGGTGTAGACAAGGGGAGTACGTTTGAAAACGGTTTGAAGAATGGAAGAAAACAACATTATATGACTATAAGCAAATTAAGAAATATCACAGCTTAAATAGCATATAACTCAGGATAGGAAGAAGTGACAACTAATCATATCCCCCTATAGTATATTTTGGGGCATTTTAGCCTTGGCGGGTGTAGACAAGGGGAGTACGTTTGAAAACGGTTTGAAGAATGGAAGAAAACAACATTATATGACTATAAGCAAATTAAGAAATATCACAGCTTAAATAGCATATAACTCAGGATAGGAAGAAGTGACAACTAATCATATCCCCCTATAGTATATTTTGGGGCATTTTAGCCTTGGCGGGTGTAGACAAGGGGAGTACGTTTGAAAACGGTTTGAAGAATGGAAGAAAACAACATTATATGACTATAAGCAAATTAAGAAATATCACAGCTTAAATAGCATATAACTCAGGATAGGAAGAAGTGACAACTAATCATATCCCCCTATAGTATATTTTGGGGCATTTTAGCCTTGGCGGGTGTAGACAAGGGGAGTACGTTTGTTGCTGGAGTCCCATATAAATAAACTTGGAAAAAAAAAAACTACGTGCAAAACAGTTGGCACAAAGAGAAGAAATAGAAGAACCACAGGTTCACTAATATCTGAATTAAAATGCAAAAATTTAAGTGCCAAGCCACTGACCTTTTGACATAACAACCAGGGAACTACCATTAGCTGCTCCAGCAATTGAACTAATGTAGAAATTCTTTTCCCATTGTTCCATAATCCAATCCTGACAAGAATCCAACTTCATCAAGATGATTGAACACAGTAAAATTACATGGAAACACTGTAAGATACGACGAAAAGTTATCAGAAAACAAAGCGCTGTGATGTTATGTAACCTTGTGAAGGAAAACCGACGACAACTCGTAAACCTGGGAAGAGAAACCTGTTCCAGCATCCATGATTAGGGCCCAGAGATTCGCTGCAGAGGCCACACAACTTATAAGCAATCCGTCTTCGTTGCCCTTTTCTATATGTTGGCGCAATCTCGAGTCTGCAACATTGTAGTGGTACCTACAAGTCCAGCAACTTACCATGTAAATATAATAAAAAAACACATTGTATCCTTTCTCTATTGTTTTCTTGTAGAACAAAAACACACACTCTGAAGTTTCAGTATTATTTGGAACATTCAAACTAATATGGTAAAAAAATCATTTCTGTTCAAAGACATTATGCAAGATTATGAAAGTCCCCTAGTAGCGTCAAACTAATCCATAAAACATGATTTGGACCGTGAAACATATAGCGTCTAAGAGTGGTTCATTTATATTCAAGCATTGTTGAGCCAACGCATTCTTCTTCTTCCCATTGCTAATATACGGTGTTATATCATTTTCCTTACATTCAGAAGCAAAGCTTGAGGCATCAGCTCCAACAAAATTGTCTTCGCTTGCTACGAAATGTTTTAGAAACAAAAAATATAACTTTTTCTTCATCACAATAATATCTTTATTCTCCTTTGGTCGGTGTCAAATTAACCCAATTATGTACTTTCCTTTGTAGCTCATGAATTGTGCTTCACGATTTTTCCTACGGAAGTTTCATCGACTTCGTTCTTTCTAATGTAACATCATTCCAAGGTATGAACCAAAGAAAATGGACCGCCCGTATAATAACTATTTGGTTTTAGGTTTTTTTGTTTTTGAAAATTAAGGTTGAATGGTCGAATATGTAACTAGGATTGTCCTTAAATGGGAGCCACAGATCCTTCTCCGTCTGAGAGACCATTATTGAAAAATAGAAAGACGGTTATCAGCATGGTCATCATATTATATTTCCAAAAGCGAAAGACACACCTTAACACAAGCCAAATTGTTCAACCTACCCACTTAATGCATGTCTTTATTCGAAATGCCACAAAAAGTGACTATGGAAATAGAAAGATTATTCAGAAACTATATGTGGAAATCACACATCTTGTTCGATTGAATACCATAATCCTACCGAAAGACAAGGACTTGGTCTATATTTGATAAAGAAGAAGAACAAAACTCTCAGTAAATGGATATTGAGATATTATCAAAAAAGCAAAGCCTTGTGAAAAAACTTATAAAAGCTAAATATACTCCTGCAAATAGACCCCAGACGTTCTGCAAAGAGATCATGGAAATATATAAAAAAGCCCCAACACCTCGTCACCAATCACATTTACCCTAGGGTGGGTGATGGAGGAAGCACACCTTTTTGGACTACCCTTGAATTGACAATACCACACTAGCCTTACGGTATCTACTTTTGTATAGACTCTCTCATGGCAAAACGGCCACGTTAAAATAAATATAATAAAATAAAATAAAAATAAAAAATTTGGGATCTGAAGCTTGGTAGGAAAGGAACTTAAAGGATAATAAAGCTACGGAATGAGCCGAAGAGACACATTGAAATGGCTTCCTAATGCTAACGGAGTTTTCTCTACTAAATATTTGATGATGGACATAAAGGAAGGTAGAAACAGTAAAGCTCACAAGCAAAGACAATATATGGAAAGGAAATCCTAAAAAAGTGAAAATTTTCTTGCGTAAAATAGCGATAAAGCCATTTCATAACTCCACTTTCCAAGTTGATGCTCATTGTGCAAGGAAGACAACGTATCACAAAACCACTTATATATGCAGTGCACATACTGATATGCTCATAAGTTGTGGACAAAGATTCTCAATATCTTTGGATAGCATCTCACTTTTCCTAGGGAGGTAAACGAGTTACTGGACATGGCCTTAACGTACCACCCCTTCAAGAATGCAAAAGCTCTAGAATGGAAATACTTCATTATGGCTTTTTTTTGGAATCTATGGAAAGAAAGAAATCAAAGAGTATTCACGGAAAAGACACAAACTTATACTAAGCTCTTCGAAAATGTTGTTTATCACACACTATCTTGGTTTAAATTGTCTAATACATTTGCTTCCTATAGTCATACTTCTCTCCTTGTTTAGGAAGGTCTTTTGTAAGTACCTTGGATAATGCATCACTAAGTTTGAAACCAAAAAAAAAAAAGAAAAAAACATGTTTGTCTTTCAAATTTGACTATGAATGCAAATGTTTCCTTAGGAAAGATGGAAATCATAGTGAAAAGACGGTAAGAAAACCAGCCCACATTTTAAAAACTAAAAACGAAAGATCAAATAATTATCAAACGGGGCCGAACAAAAGAATATTTTTAATGCAAATTAGTACGAGCTACTTGATACAACGCACAGCTTGGTAGTTCAAAAGTCAAACCACAATACCACTGAGATAAATTCATTAAAAATGGGGTAGACATGAAAGAGAGTGATTATTAAGCAATAAAACAAAAGCAATGCAAGACCATGGAACATTAAAAGTAATCAGCGAATAAGAACATCAAACGCACCTTTGCTTCATGGGCCTACGTGCATTATAAACCGAAATCCATTGCGTGGCAGGACTACCTAACCTCACTCTCTTCTTTGGTTGCTCATCTTCTTCCAGATTTATAAGCAGCCTACCACGCTTTTGCCCAACCTAGTGCAGCAAGGAAACCGTATAAAATGAGGAAGTCAGTTCCCTACAAATTAAATTCCAACTTGTGCACACATTGGTGGAAAGGAAATTGTAAAAGAGAGGTAAGGTGGGAAGGAATTAGAAAACGATAGGCCACCTTTAATGCTCCATCAATTCGAATTGGCCTGAGTGGTATACATGGATCAATCAGGCCTTCAAAAAAGGATATTAGTTTTGAATAATTTGGCTCCTCGTCGAACTTCATATTTATTACAGCTTCAAGAAATTGCTTGAATGGTGCTGGGCAAAAGCAGCACATTAACTCTGGAGAAGTGACCATCTTTTTCTTACATACAAGAAAACTCTTGTTATCACCCTGCATTTATTTGTCCATGGATAGAAGGGTTAGTTCTTTAATTTGGAAATTTCGAAAATGTCATTGGTCTATTAAATGTCGGTTTTCTTCCCCAGATTAAATTGCATGTCCTTCTAAATTGTATGCATAAACAATAAATAAAACAAAACAAAATAAAATAACTCATTGTTCAAAATTCTGTTAAACAAATGGTTTTAATCATTAAACTTAAAGAAGATTAAACTAGAGCATTAAGAAAGCTGATCGACCTGATATCCTTGCCAAGGTAATCTTCCTTTTATAAGGAATATTAACGTGTAAGCCAATGACTCAAGATCATCTCTCCGACTTCCAGTTCTACCTAAATGTGCATGTACACTTGCATACCTTATCGTCCCCCTGGTAGAAAAAAATATATTTACATTGAAACATATAAATACTTCAAAAAAAATATACATGAAAGTGAAAAGTCCCACAAACCTGAATATGTCAGGCCTTTGATCATATTCGACATGTTGACCACTAGCTACATCTTTCCATTTAGAAGCTGAACCAAACATGATCGTAGAACGAGCAATGAAATAGAGAAAGTCAGCTATCAAGTAGTGAACTTTTGGTCAAGTACAAGAGATTCATACTGGAAAAATAGGTTGATGCTATGGTATTGATGAGAGCATACCTAAACCAAGATCAATAAGATACAGTTTTTTCTCATCTGCTGTCCCCGCTTGACCAAGTAAGAAGTTCTCGGGCTTCACATCTCCATGCACAAACCTTTATTTACAAGACGATAAACGATTGTAAGAGATAATTAGGAGCTTAAATGAGAATGAACGTTCGGGGCTATGTAGTCATGGATTAAATTATAAAACAAATCTGTAATCCTTTGGAAGTTTTTTTTTTTTTTTCTTTTTTCCATCCATTTGTTTATTAATTGAATATTTTGTTCTTTTATCAAAAATAATTTATGTTTTGAAGAAAAAGTTTTGGTAATTATATGGAGTTAAGGGAACTCACCCCTTCATGTGAAGCTTCTCAAGAATTGATATTGCCTCCACTGCAATGCAAGCAACCATACTTGGAGACATCCTGTTGAAGATGCAAAATTAAGAAGGTTGAACAATAGGCCAAATCTGCATGAATAATACCGTTCGAGACAGAAATGTCATTTATCTTACGATTGACCAAGAGTGTTCCAGACATCCCACAGGCTCGGCCCGAGCATGTCCATGACCTGGTATCCAGTTACAAAATGTCAGACATAAATACATTTGAAAACTTAGCTGCTAAGGAGCGGTCTAGTTCAAGCCTCACCAGAATGTAGAAATCGCCTTGACGACCCTTGTAATGAACCCAAGGAATTCCATAGCATCCATTTAGAGCACTTAATAAGACAAAAGACGAGAAAGCCATAGCAGTTCAGTAACGTAAAACAATATTGTTAGCTTAATACTAAAACTTAGAAAAAGGTTACCGAATAACTCTTACCTATACACTTGCCATTCATAAGGAGGACCATAACTGCAACCTTTACTATTGTGGTGCTCAAGCTTCAGAGCAACCTGTAAGTTCATTTTAATCAGGAAACATGCTTTGACACGATTAATTCATCAAATCATTGCAATAAGGATTCATGTAGTGATCGATACCTCAATTGCATCCGGACCTGTCTGATCAGTTCCACCACTGACTCTTCTACCAACAAAGACTTGGCCAAAACCTCCCTTGCCAAGTTTCTTTTCAACCTTATATACAGGAGAATTGCCCACTTGTACCTGCGGAGATCAAACGAAACACATCAGTCAAATACTCGAACATCCCAACCACATTGTAATGTGGTTTTAATTGAAGAAAGACAAAATAAATGCATTATACGTCCAGAACAGATGAGAATCACAGTGATGGAAACTATAGACTTGGGTTTTTCGTTAATGTAACTGATAGTGAAGCCTCCACATCGTTGTAACCGAATATTCTAAAATGACATACAACAATGAATGCACGAGGTCAAGAAGACAAGGGGATACCCTGTCAGGAATAGGAGCTGTGCCTGCTTCCTCTTCAACTCCTATTACTTTATCCGGACTTCCACCCTCTATGGCCATATCTTTATTTGCAACAGCCTCAACACGATTGAAAACAGGCTCTGCTGCCCCAAGGGCACCAGCTTCAGGAAGAACCTCACAAGGTTCAGGATCTAAATCTATCAATCTGATTCCGCGTCCTCTCCGGGCAGCCGTTGGCCTTGCAGGAATTGCCACCGAGGGACCTTTCGCTACGGCTGCATTACCACCTCTTCCTCTTCCACCACCAACCCTCCTTCTGGTTCTATTAGGGGCCGGCACTGCCAAATTCTCTCCTTGATCAAGTGGTTGTGTACAAGGCTGAAGATCATCAAGCCGTCTCGATCTCCTGGCTCCACTTCGCAGTTCAGGCATTGTCACCCCATACACATCACATCCTGCTTTATTTACCCGATATATAGAAGTCATCCAAAAACATTACAAATCCAATAATATTGGAGGAAAAATGATAAACATGTTGCATAAACATAACCTTAGATATTGAAACCAATAACATCAATTCTAGAAAAGGAATCTCTGACAAAACAGACTTTCTTCTTTGACGATTACACGTACGTTGATATCAATCAGAGAAAAAAAAAACAACATAGTAAAAATAAAATACCAGAAAATTGGGGAAATATACATTCAAGAGTAAATAGAGTTGAAAAGTTTTGTTCATCAAAATACCAAGAAGTATGAACAAAATGTACCTAAAAAAGATTGCTTGATCCCGTTGCAAAATTAACACAGGTCCCTACGCTTTCTTGACCCTTCATAACTTGATAAATCATAAACAAAGTCTGATAAGAAAAAGAACACAAATCAGGCAAAACGTCGGAGGAAAAGCGAAAATTACAACGAAAAAGGTTTCATCGAGCGATCATACATGAAAAAAAACCCAACACAAAAAGGAAAAAAGAAATCATAAAAATAACAAACCAAACAAATGAAAACCGATCATCACAAGAAAAACACAAAAACACAAAAAAAGCCAAAATCAGTAATGATCCGATTACGATGGAAGTAACGAAAACGGACAAATGGGTCTCAAAAAAGCGAGAAAATCAGAGAAAAAACTTACAGATGGATCCGGAAACAGAGAAACTGATGATCGGCGATGAAGAAAATCGGATCTGATCGAAGATTTACCAACAAAAAAAGGAAAAAAAGGGGATGATGGAGTCTTTGATGTTGGTGAGTGAAAGGAGAAACACAAAACTTGCTTTTTGATCGTTTGTGTGTATTTTAGAGTTATGGGGTTGGAATCAAAGATAAGCTCCGGACATGGAAAACGCTGGTAAGAAATTTATCCTGCTTGCCCTAAACATTGGTATTTTTTTTTTTTCTTTTTAATATTATTATCAGGTGGAGATTGAGATTTTCAAGATTTTTTTTTTTTTTTTTAATTTGTCGAAAAGGTAAAATTTAAGGAGAAAAATAAGAAATTGTAGAAATGAAAAAATGTGATGATGATGGTGATGATGATGATGATGCTACATTCATGTTTTCCACTTCTAATATGTTTTCCCTTTCTATCCTTTCTCTCTCTAAAATTGTAACTTCTTTTTTTTTTTCATTTTTTAAATCTAAATTACGGTTTGGTCCTTTAACTTTTATCTATTTTCACTTTGGTCCCTAACGTTTTTTTAGAATTTGGATTTGGTCGTTGAACATTTATTTATTTTCACTTTGGTCCCTAATGTTTTTTTAGAATTTGGATTTAGTCCTTGAACTTTGGTCTATTCTCACTTTGGTCCCGGTAGTTTTTTAACTTTGGATTTGGTCGTTGAACTATTATCTATTTTCACTTTGGTCCTTAATGTTTTTTTAGAATTTGGATTTAGTCCTTGAACTTTGGTCTATTTTCATTTTGGTTCTTGTAGTTTTTTAACTTTGGATTTGGTCCTCGAACGATTATCTATTTTCACTTTGGTCCAAAAGCGTCTTGGGGTTTAGATTTGGTCCTTAGATGAATTATTATCTATTTTTATTTTGGTCTCTGATCTTTTTTTGAAATTTGTAATTGGTCCTTGAACTCTTGTCTATTTTCATTTTGGTCCTTAAGTTTTTTGAAATTTGTATTTGATCCTTAAACTCTTATATACTTTCACTTCGGTGGTTTTTGGGATTTAGATTTGGTCTTTGAACTTTTATCTATTTTCACGTTGATCCCTATACTTTTTGAAATTTAACTTTGGTCCTTGAACTCTTATCTATTTTCACTTTGGTCTCAAAGCGTTTTGGGATTTAGATTTGGTCCTTGACCTATCTATTTTCCCTTTGGTGTTTTTTGGGATTTAGATTTGATCCTTGAACTGTTATCTATTTTCATGTTGATCCCTAAGTTTTTTGAAATTTAAATTTGGTCTTTGAACTCTTATCTATTTTCACTTTGGTCCTTTTTGGAATATAGATTTGGTCCTTAGACTTTTAACTATTTTCACGTTGATTCCTAAGCTTTTTGGAATTTAAATTTGGTCCTTGAACTCTTATCTATTTTCACTTTGGTCTCAAAATTTATTGGGATTTAGATTTGGTCCTTGAACTTTTATCTATTTTTCACATTGGTCCCTATGCGTTTTGGGATTTGGATTTGATCCATGTGACAACCGGGCTAGATGAAGAAAATTTATTCAATGAAACTACTTTTACGGTATCTCTATCATACATTTAATGGTTCAAAATTGTCGGTTACATTATAACGACTTTCCTAAATAATTTTTCATAAATGAGAGAATTTCTCTTATATTTCTGTTTTTATAATGTTATGATACAAATATGGAATGTGAATGTAAACATACGAACCCTCAGATGAAATGTAAGCATTTTAGCTCGGGAGATTCAGATTAATTTTGAATGGGTTGAAAAACGTCGAGTATTATAAATACCCAGTAAGTGATTGAGTCAGAAAATGCAAACACATGTAACATGAACCAGGACATTCTTTCACTGCGAGACTTAAAAAACTATGGTCCTGGACTCGGTTCTTTCTAAATCTATAAAAACCCGTACTTAAAAAACTACCCATCTGCTTATTCTGTATGAGAACGAGTCAATTCCACCTCAAAAAATTATGTTATCAGTTTTCTATTTGATCAGATCCCCAAAATGATAGATATATTGAATCCGCTATAAAACTCGTTCTCACTCATACAAATCAAATGACAAGTTTTCACGAGTATAAGTTCATAACTCACTCAACATTAAGACTAAGTTGTATATCACGACCCTATAAAAATTAAATATTTTGCGATCTAGTCTTATACAAACTCATTATATAGAATACTCACAGCCCACATATCTCCACATGAACGATCTGGATCAAATCACTTTTAACAATTACATAGTAGATCGTATCAATAGTGTTTATAGGATAAAACACGAGGCTTATTCATATACTATAGACCATTTAGGTTATTACTTGAACATGATTCTCTCATATGTCAACCACGTATTGTAAAATATTATACTAATAATGTCTGGTATGTACGCTTTCATACGTAGGTGATATCACTTCTATATGTCCCAACCTATTATTAAATTATTTAATGTAGGTAGGGGCCCGAGAAAAGTTGAATAAGAGAATATGAATACATCATACACCATCAGTTCTTTTCCATTCATTTCATGTCGATATAAATCATATACATAAATGACGTCCCACGAGTATAAAGCATCTTTTTTAATACATGATGCAACATCGTAAACATTGTTTTCAATAAGTATTTATGTGAGATCTCGGTTGAGCAGGATAACGAAACATTTTTTTATATGGGCATGGAAACATCTCTCTAACATACGTGTTTTAAAAACTTTGAGAGGAAGCCCGAAAGGAAAAGTTCAAAGAGAACAATATCTACTAGCGGTGGGTTTGTGACGTTACAAATGGTATTAGAGCTAGACACGGAGTGATGTGTCAGCGAGGAGGCTGAGCCCCGAAAGAGGGTGGACATGAGGTGGAGTGCGACACTGGGCCCTGAAGGGGGTGGATTGGAGTAGTCCCACATCGAATGGAGAAAGGAACGAGTGTCAGCGAAGACAGTAGGCCCCGAAGGAGGTGGATTGTGAGATCTCACATTGGTTGAAGAGGAGAACAAAACATTCTTTATAAGGGTGTGAAAAACCTGACCATACGAGACGCGTTTTATATTTTAATTTGGTAATATTAAATTAAAAATTATTGTTAAATTAAATGTGAAAATAGACTTGTAGACTCATTATTATATTTGTATTGTTGAACAATTAATTTAAATAGCCACCTAACCTCTCTTTAATTGAAAATAAGTTCAACCTTATGATCATATTCAACAAATTATTATCCTTAATTAATTATGTTTCTATTTTTTAAAAAAATTTTAGCTTAGCTAACACGAGCATTATCATCCTAAAAGTCGATAGTCAAAACTATTGTCATAGACCAACCCGAATCCTTCTAACATGTTCATTGTAACAATCCAAACCTGCAGCTAGCAGATATTGTCCTCGTTGGGCTTTCCCTTTTCGGCTTCCCCTCAAGGTTTTTAAAAGTGTTTGCTAATGAGAGGTTTTCACACCCTTATAAAGAGTGTTTCGTTCTCCTTCTCACACATATCCTAAGAAATTATCAGGAGATCACCCAACATAAAATTGTAGGGTGTACACTTAACCCGACAACCTGGACCAACTCAACCCGAACTATAAAGGTTGGGTTGGGTTATTAGCATTTCGAGTAGGGTTAGATTCATTTTTCTGAATCCGAATTGAATCGGTTTGACTTCGGATTCGTGGATAAAACCTTCGAGTTGACTCGAGCCAAATAAACATATATAAATTATATTAAGAATCTTTTTGTATTAATATGTTTGCGAGAGTGGTACCTCAGCCCTCTCTAAGGGCACCCACGTCCGAGTTTGATGCTAGGGATAATACATTTTATTTATTTATTATTATTTTATTTAATTTCTTATATATTATTTATATACAATATATTTAAAATCATCTTATTCTTTATTTAATTTGATGTTCTACCTTCTATTTTCTTATTTAATCAATTCTTAAGAAATGTCGGTATTTAACTGTATTTAGTTTTATGACAATGTTAAACTACGTTACCATTTTCGCTCGTTGCTCTTTATGGTATATTTTTTTTACTTTAACCCATTCTATTTTTGTTGTATACAACATATTTAAACTAATCAATGTTAACTATGTTAATATGTTACAATTTTTGTTGGTTGTTTTTTTATTATAGATGGATTTGTGTTTGTTTATTGGTGAACTTTTAATATATTTTATCTAAGATTGTATCTGAATAATTATAAATTGTGGATAATAAAAAAGAAAATTTGACAACTCGAACCATGTACAGCCCAACCCGAACCATATAAATTGGGTAAAAAAAAATCTCTCAACCCAACCTAACCCAACCCGAACCATGTACAGTCGTATAAAATTATTCAAAAAATAAGCAAAACACTTAGCTGTGGAGTTTACATGATTGAGCCACAAAAAAGGAAAACATAGTCTATTCCTATATATTTCTTTTGAGTTTTTCTTAGTCATCCTATCTTTAGGACCGCTCTTATTTAGATATGGTATCTGTTCATTCATGTATCGCTCCTTTACTCGGGTGTCACATGAACCCAACCCAATTTTAAATTTTTTTTGTTGAGTTGGTTCAGGTTGTTCGAGTCATCTTTCGAGTATCAAAATTTAATCGATATATCCTTAACAAATCTTAACATTAGTCTCTACCGTTCTTTATGGTTAATTTTTTTTCCAAAAAAATCACATCAATCAGAATAATAAATTTTAAAAAGTTGGTATTAATAAAACTTTTTAAAATTTAACAATATTTTTAAAAAAATTTTTAATAGAAATATTTTTTAGGCAAAAATATAAAGTTTAGGTTTTTATTATTTTTTTAAAATTAATTTAGCATTTTTTTAAAAATATAATCACTCTAAATAAATATGATATTTTTATCATGTATATTTTATATTTTATATTTTCTAAATTAATTATAGTTTGTGAACCTTCTATAAAAATATATATTTATTTCAAATAAGTAATTGCAAATATTGCACATCATAAATTATATTTTATTAGAGAAAAATAGGAATACTATTTTATTTCTACCATTTTTTTCTTTTAAAAAATAAATAATTAGGGAAGACATTATATTCTCAACCAACGGGTAAGAAATTTAATACCACGATGAGCTAAAATTTAATTTCTCGAGCATTGTAATATGTAGTTTGTTATATGAAACGTATTATATATAAATTTAACCGTGGAGTCGTCTAAATTAATTGAAACAAATATTTAGTGGACAAAATGGATTAAATTTTTTAAATTTTATTGA